CCTGGGGCTCGGGGCCAGAGAAATCCCTGCGGATGGCGGAGTGCCGGCGGCTGCGGGAAGCGCTCAGGCTGCCAGTGCTGAGAGCATCCGGACGCATCCCGGGAGCTGCTGCGGGAAGGAGGGAGGCGGAAGGTCCCTCCGTGCCATCCATTCCAGCATCCCGCTGGGCTGGAGCGGGGGCTGGTGCCTGGCTCTGCCCTAACTGGGTTGTTTTTCTCTATTTCTCCTGCTCCAGGCCAAGCGGAAGCTGGACCTGGAGGGCCCAGGCCAGCCGGGCTGCCCGGAATTCCGCACGCCCAAGGACAAGGGCAGGAGCCTGGCCCAGGTGCCCAGCCCCAGGAGTAAGTGGTGCCGGGCCGAGAGGGGAGGAAAGCGGGAGGCTGGTTTGGGATAGAGGGGCAGACCCCATTGCTCTCCCGTTTAGAGCTGCCGCTCTCTGCACTGTCCCCTCACACTGCCCCAAAATGACCCAAACCTCTTTAGAGTGGCGACGACCATGTCTGGCCCTGGGGCATCCGTGTCCCAGCCTGAAGCAGGGGCCGGAGGGGTCTCTCATTTCCCCGCAGCCCCCAAGTCCCCCGGTGAGAAGACCCGCTACGACACCTCGCTGGGGCTGCTCACCAAGAAGTTCATCCGGCTGCTGAGCGAGTCTCCCGACGGCGTCCTGGACCTCAACCGCGCTGCCGAGCTGCTCGAGGTGCAGAAGCGGCGCATCTACGACATCACCAATGTGCTGGAGGGCATCCAGCTCATCCGCAAGAAGTCCAAGAGCCACATCCAGTGGATGTAGGTGAAGGAGGGAGGGAAGGATGGATAGATGGATGGATGGATGGATGGATGGATGGGGGAAATGGGGTGAGTTGGCTCCCGAGGGCAGGTGACAAGTGGTGAGCTGGGAAGGATGGGGCGAGGTGGCTTGGGGACATGGGACACAGTGATGGGTGAGTGGAGCTCGTGTGTGGCACAGGGGGACGGGGATCTTCGAGGACGTGTCAGTGGTCACCAAGCAGCAGGTGCTGCGCCAGGAGCTGGCCGAGCTGGCCAGGACGGAGAGGACGCTGGACCGGCTCCTGCAGGACTGTGCCCTGCAGCTCAAGCAGCTGACGGAGGATGAAGCCAACCAGAGATATCCTTGTTGGGAGAGAGCCGTGCATGGGACTCGGAGCAGGGGCTTGGGTGCCGTCCAAGTCCCTTGCCCTCTCTTTGCTCCCATCCTGGGTGGACAAATGCACTTCCTGGGATGGGGAAAACGCTGGGAGCTGCGTGTTTGGCAGCAGCATTGCGGGGCTGGGGGGAATGGAGGAGTCTCCCTTGCAGCTTCGTGTTTTCCTATACCCCTTCCGTGTCCACGCTGGCCTACGTCACCTACCAGGACCTGCGCGCCATCGGCACCTTCGAGGAGCAGACGGTGATCGCGGTGAAGGCTCCTCCAGAGACGCGCCTGGAGGTGCCTGATTTGCAGGAGGTGCGTGGGGGCCGCCGCGGGGCAGGGGGGCTGCCTTCATCTTGAGTGGCTTCATCTGGAGCATCCCGGGGGACATCTCCAGGTGGTCCTTTCTCCGCTGCATGGCAGGGTTGGGGTGTCCGTGTGCCCCACGGGGCTGCTTGTCCCTTGGGGGGGCTGTGGGAGCTGGGGGGGGCACCCCAGAGGTGCCCTGAGCCCCCCTTTCCCCCTGGCAGGACAAGCTACAGCTCCATCTGCGGAGCACCAAGGGCCCTATCGAGGTCTATCTGTGCCCGGAGGAGATGCCGGAGGAGCCCCCCGCTGAGGAGCCCGTCCCTGCCACGCACCGCGATGTCCCCTCCCCTGAGAACCCCATGGGGCTGCTTGTCCCTTGAGGGGCTGTGGGAGCTTGGGGGACACTCCAGAGGTGCCCTGAGCCCCCCTTTCCGCCTGGCAGGACAAGCTACAGCTCCATCTGCAGAGCACCAAGGGCCCTATCGAGGTCTATCTGTGCCCGGAGGAGATGCCAGAGGCGCCGCCCGC